ATATCTAGCATTCAGATAAACTTCCAAAAGCCACTCCTCAGCTGTGAAATGCCACTAAATCCTTTAGGAACTCATTAATAGATTAACATTTGGAAGAGTAATTATAGTGAGAGTTGAATTCAAATTAAATAAAAATAAGGAGACAAATTATATATTACTTAATCCCACTGAATGCTTGATAAAAATCAATATAATAAACTATCAGAGGCAGCAAGTCAACATTGAGACCATTTTAATTAAAAGACAGTGAAATAGACATGCACAAACATACAACCACATGGTAGAAATGTTTAATACACATGCAGCAGTTGTACTTCATACATTCTGTGTATATTGCCATATTTTTCAAGTATGTGAAAGACTATTTTGAAATGAAAAAAATGATCTCCATGATCAGAGTTGATTCTTCTGGGCCAATTAGCTCAATCCTAAAGCAAATTGACTGTGTTAAACTTTATAAAAAATTGATTTTTCAAAATATTGTCCTGGCTTTTGATGAAGATGCAAATGATTTAATATGACGAATGTCTCTTTTGGCTGTTTGTGATATATCTCAAAACTGAAGAACATGATATGATGGAGGAGCAGGTAGTACAAGGAGACTTAAAATTATTCACGGAAAATGGAATGAAAAAATAATGCTGTATTTCCAGGAATATTTTAAAGCCAGCCCCATTCACAGATTAATATTTTCTGTAATGACTCCTTATTTTTAAGCATAAACTTTAAACTACCTAAGTGTGTGTTAGAATTTGAATTATTACTGAAGATGATTTTACCAATTTCAGAGAAAAAAATAAGTGTTGTGTTGTATGTGTAAAGTTTGGACATCTCCCTCCTTTGCAATTTTGGGTCTAGAGAAGATTTCTGCAGGGTTTCAGAGGTGCTGCAGCTGTTTTCAATGGGGTGCAAATGAAATGCATGAAGAGTAACAGGGTTGTAAAAGTCATAAATGCCACATAAAATAAAGTCATCAATGAGTAAAAATGATTGGGGTTTTAGATTTGCAATTTTCCTTTTTAAATGCCCTTATTGATTTGTTGCAAATACTGTTAACCCTGTATTTGGCAAATGGTAAGGACATTATCACTTGTGTTCTCATTTGTAATAAAACAGATTAACTTGCTGTGAAATTTTAACTAGACTGAGACACAACAGTAGCCACCTAATGAACCAAAGCACATTGCAGTTAAGTAGCTAAATAGATGCATACTGATTACAGGGCTGAAAAATGGATTTGTTTACTTGCAAGGGAGAAATTGTTCATGGAAATATTCATTATTTTTGGAGAAATTAAGCATTCCAGTTCCATATAGGTGTATATTTTTAAAACCCACCTAATTCTTAATCAATAGAAGACACTGCACTCATTTAACATGGTTAACATGGTTTAAAAAAAAAAACACTCTGACCCCTGTTGCTGCCTTAGGAAAATAATGACAAAGAACTGAACCTTGATTGATTTTGGTAAGTGCAGGCTACAAAATCTTAAAGTGGAAGTATTGCTTCCTGCAAAATGTTGCTGTCAGTCTTAATATTCAGACTCTAAATCATGTCTTCAAACTAAGTTTATTGTTTCACATAATATGCTGTTGAAAATGGCAATGGAGTTTAAGGATAGATTATTTGAGTTTATGTTGTTTGATCATATGCTAATTTTAAATATGTTGGGAGAAATTCCTTATTATATCATTGTATTTTTTCTCATTATTCACAGCATTTCTACTTGTGTAGATAGTCTTCCTTGTTATAAAATTCAGAATAAGATTTCATTTTTTATTACACAGTGTGGGCAAGACCAAATATTATTGTCGGTTGTGTTCTCTTGCTTTCCTGAACCATCAACTATGTGAATCACTCAAAAATTTTCCATTTTATTATGGTAACATGTACTCCTGTATAGGTGATTCTTGCTTGCTGCTACACAATGATGCTGCTTCTTCAGTTCTATTTTTGCAAAGTTTCTACCCTCCTTTGTTCCTCTCCGTTCAGCGGTCCATTAGAGATAAATGTAATTCATTGAATAGCACATTTTTTTCCAACAAATATTCAGTGTTAGAATTCAAAGACAAATTCTGAATATTCTACACTACATGCACATACTTTTGAAATAGAATCAACAAGACTACACAACAATGAAAAGCAAAACAAAATTTTGCCTCTTATATGAAATTTCTTGGTGTGTTTGCAATTGTGTACACATGGTATTTAGAAACTATATATATACATATACAGTATAAAATGTACATCTTGATTGGCACATGGTGTTTGTACATAGTTATGAGGTACAATGCGATGCTTTGCTTCATGTTTTTATTGGGTAATGACCAATTCATGGCAACTGAGAGTAGAAAGGTAGTTACAAAAAGTTAGGGAGACTAGGGAGGGGAGACAATGGGGAGCAGTAGGTCAATAGGTACACAGTTACAACTAGATATGATGAATTAATTATGATAGTCTGTGGCACAGCAGGGTTAGTATAATTAACAATAATGCATTACATACCTCAAAATACTTATGGGAGGATATTGGATGTATTCATCATAGAGAATATATTTTTAAATATTAAATTTTAGATTGAATTTTTTAGATATATTTATTTATTTGAAAGGCAGAATTACAGAGAAGCAGAGATTGAGAGAGAGTGAGAGAGAGAGGTCTTCCATCCGATGGTTCACTCTCCAGCTGGCCACAACTGCTGGAGCTATGCTGATCCGATGCCAGGAGTTTCTTCTGGGTCTCCCACATGGGTGCAGGGGCCCAAGGACTTGGGTCATCTTCTACTGCCTTCCTAAGCCACAGCAGGGAGCTGGATTGGAAGTGGAGCAGTGAAGACTTGAACCGTCACCCACATGTGATGCCTGCACTGCAGGCAGCAGCTTTACCTGCTATGCCACAGTGCTGGCCCCTAGGTTGAATTCAATAACTGATAAACTACGGGGCTTTTCAGAAAGTGAAGGGATGTGGTGTGAGGGTTACATAGTTTTTATTGTTTATTACCATACCATCCCTCCACAATGTAAATGAAATTACTGGAAAGAAAAAAGCTTGATTATTTTCTTCTGCTTTACTTATATATTTATTTTATTTTTGATACATTGGGTCACAGATACATTTTTACAGACTAAATAAAAATGAAGCATATAAGTATATTATTCTACTTTGAAACATTATTTTTAAGGCATGAGAACAGCTAAGAAGTTTTTAAAGTATCATACACTTACAAATATCATATACCCTTATAATTAAATAGTACACACTTACAGTTATTGATATTTAATTAGTCATAATACCACAGCGATATACTCAACGTCTGCTATTCATTTCTTTAAAGTTATTAGATAATGTAAAACACCATTTTAAAATGAATCTAGTACATTGATGACTGAATTAGTGCTCTACAGTGGCTAAAACAAATTTTCACAAATTTAGTGACTTAAAATAATGAAAATTTATTATCATACAGTTCTGTAGGTCAGAGGTTACATATAGGTCCCATCCCATTGGACCAAAAGCAAAATGTCACCATTGTCAGTAAAGAGCCTATTTGTTCACTTTTTCTACCTTCTAGAAACTACCCACATTTCTTGGTTCATTGCACCCTTCCTCTACTTTTAAAGCCAGGAATGTTGACTCACTCTGACTGTCCTTCTCTGCCTCTGTCTTCTACTTTTAAGAACCCTTGTTATCAGATTGGCTCCACGAAGGTAACCCTGTATAATATATTTTAAGGTTTTCAATCACATCTGCAAAGTCATTTTGGTCATATACGGTAATATATTAACAGGTTCTTTTGGTTACAATGGGATCTAGACATCCTGTGGTGATGGGGTGGGTTGAGACATTACCAATCTGCCAGCAAAAATGACAGGCATTGCAACATATTGATGAGTACTAGTAAAATGATAAGTTTTAACTCTCTTTTTTTAGGTAAAGTTATACATTTTGAGCTTGTCATGCAAAATCAATGTGAAGATGTACAAACACATATTTGACAAACTAATTTTTAATTTTATGATGATTGGAATACTGATGTTGTAATTACAGATAATTAGACCATTTAATTTAAGAAATTTATTATCACTGAATTAAATATTTTCTAGGACAAACATTCGCTGTCCCAGCATGTCTATCACTCGAACACATTTTTGGCATATGTGCATAAACACTGCAATTTGGTTTCTTTATTGATCAAATTAACTGAATGATTCAGGTTTATTCATCACTTTGTGATACATAAACATAGTGGACAATTTAAGTGCTTTATAGCATTTTTCATAGTAATAAATTCATGAGAGCCATAACATTGCTGTAGAAGCATGTAAAATATTTAATTTTTATTAAATTCATTATTTAAAACTATAAAATCTAACCAATACTAGGAAATTGCCATTTATATATATTAGTGTAAGCTGGAAAAACCTATTGTGTCCCGTGGCTATCAAAACATTTTGTTGGCAGAATTGAGCATAAATTCCTAAGATCTGATAGATAACATGTATATCATTTCCATAGTTTTTGTCTATGGGGAAAAATCTCCACATGTATCAGGTTCTACTATTTATGAATTTTATGTCAGTCCTTTAAAATCTTTACATTTGGGAGATCACCTTAATCAAAAGTATCACCCTCCATGCCTTGGAATGAACTTTACATCAATCTAGACATTTACAATAACAATTACTTTCATTATATATCTATGTTTATAATAGCTTATGAATTGTGTAGGAAACAAAAATGGAACCTAAGTTTTTTTGAGTGTCTATCCTGTACTCATCATGGAACTGGGCCCTTTTGATGTCTTTTCTCATTTAACCACCATGATATCCCTTTAATTTTGCGAGAAACAAAAAGTTTTTATTTCAGATATGTGTGTCAGACCAGATACTGTGGGTGTTTACATTTTCAAAATAAGAGGAAAGTTAACATTTCAAATGATAGGACCCGATATGAAAGACCTAATGCACAGGTGCCATTTCCTTTGTCTCCTTTTGTTCCAGGAACGGATCCCAGAGAGTCCTTCTCCTGATCCCTCTCTGGAAGAGAGTCATCGCCCTGGGAGCCAGACATCCTCCCACGCCAGTAGCAGTGTATCCAGTTCTCCCTCTCAGATGGATCATCATTCAGAGAGAATGGGTGAGTATCTTACCTGAAACAAGTAACTGGAAGATATTTTTTCAGGAAATTCCTGTACAATAAGGATACAAGAACGAAGCTGGGGAAACTGATAACTCCTTAATGTAAATGGCTTTTTGAAGTAGTCATTTATTACTGAAGCAATATCACTTGTGAAATGAAAATTAAAGTGTTAAGAGTTTGTTCTCTGAAAAAGTCTTCCTTTACTGTATTATTAGCTGGCATGGGGACAATATAGTATATGTTAGTTCAATACATTGATGTACAACACCTAGTGTGATACAGTACACTTGTTACATTTACAACAACTTTTTTAATAGTGGAAGATAAAATATCCTTTAGGCAGTTGATCATGTAATAGTGGATAAAAGTGAATCAGTATATGATGTGCCACTGTCTCACAATTTGAATCACAAATATTCAACATACATATCCCTACCTTTATATATTTTGAGTTATGTTGGAAGGCTTCCCCCATAGACAGACAATATTACATACAGGGATGTGGTATGATGGATACTTGAATCAAGCCAAGGGAAAGTACTAAGTAGTTATAACAGCCTGAGTATGTCGCTTAACTAGCATTTTCTTGACCTATTTCATGGAAATAATTACTGCCCTGCATAATGTACTTGATTATTGTGAGTTCAAGTGAGATATATGTAAAATGCTTCAGAAGTGCTGAGAAAATGTGAGCTGGTAAATATTGCTTTTGTCTTTGTGACTTTACCTTGATTGCTTCTCAGCCCCTGTTGTTTGATCCTACTCAGGCATACAGAAGTTAGCAGGGGTATTTGGCTGTAACAAATTCTGAGTTAGTATTTAATAATTGTGTAAAAATTGAGCTAGGTAAAATCTATATGTACACAATCCAATTTACTATGTATTCATTTCCTTTTGGGAAAATTATTTTTCTCTTATTTTAGTCTTATTATTAGAGCATTCTTTAATGTGAATTCTAAATTAATAGTGATTACTTCCAGCTTTTCCAAAATATGTGTTGGGGTAGAGAAAGGAGAAGAATTCAAGGGATTAGGAAAGGTGTCAAGTTCTGGATTTGTGCCAGGGAAGGATGATGAAGATTCTCTGTTCCCTTCATCTAAGTCTTGCTTGGCCTGTCAATATTATACACTCTTTTGGCTCTTTTGGTTCATAATGAGCTCAGTGACTCTCAAGTATGGCTTCCAATGAAAATCACCTGTGGAATCACCTGTGGAGTTTTTACAACTACAGATGGGAAGGCCACACATTCCGAGTTTATTTCACTTGGTCTGGATTTTTTTTTTTTTTTTGACAGGCAGAGTGGACAGTGAGAGAGAGAGACAGAGAGAAAGGTCTTCCTTTGCCGTTGGTTCACCCTCCAATGGCCGCCACAGCCGGCGCGCTGCGGCCGGCGCACGGTGCTGATCCGATGGCAGGAGCCAGGTGCTTCTCCTGGTCTCCCATGGGGTGCAGGGTCCAAGCATTTGGGCCATCCTCCACTGCACCCCCTGGCCACAGCAGAGAGCTGGCCTGGAAGAGGGGCAACCGGGACAGAATCCGGCACCCCGACTAGGACTAGCACCCTGTGTGCCGGCGCCGCAAGGCGGAGGATTAGCCTAGTGAGCCGCGGCGCCGGCTCACTTAGTCTAGATTAAAGCCTGGGTAACAGAGTTTTGTTTTGTGTTTCAATATTTGCTCAGAGCATTCTGATGTGTAGCCAAGGATGCTAATAGCCCTGAGGAATTAAGTTTAATTCCTGGAACAGATCATAGAGGTCTCCTAGCTCTATTGTTTTAGGGACTTAGATTACCTAGTTGTCACAACCAGTGTATAGCTGACTCAAGGGAGTCTGAGCAAGACAAGATGCTATTTTTGGGTGATTATTAAAACAAATTAAAATTTTTTTAAGATTTATTTTATTAATTTAAAAGGCAGAGTTACAGAGCTAGAGAGAGAGACAAAGAGATCTTCCCTCTGATGTTTCATTCTGCAAATGGCTGTGATGATCAGGGCTGGGCCAAGCTGAAGCCAGGAGCCAGAAACTTCATCCAGGTCTGTCATGTGGCTGATGTACAACACCTAGTGGTAGGGGTACAAGTACCTGGGCCATCTTCTGTTGCCTTCCCAGGAACATTAACAGGGAGCTGGATCAGAAACAGAGCAGCTGGAACTCAAAGCAGCCTTTGGAAATGGGATCCTGGCGTCGTAGGCAAGGGCTTAACCTGCTGTGCCACAACGCTGGCCCAAACACACATTCTCATGTTGTGATAGTCTTTGTATTGATCAAAAGAAATAGGGAAAGGGACATACGGAGAGAATCATTTATTGAGTGATGACTAAAAACCGAACATGTAGGGAAGTATACTCAGTGATAAAGCAAAAGAGAAGGGACAGTGTACACCTAGAAGTAAAATCAAATATTCTCTAAGCAATTTAACATCATAGAAAAAAAATCTTGATAATATAGATATTTCTAATTTTACTGGCAGTAATTAGGCAGTATGTGCACATTTCATAGTTGTCCAAGTATGATAGTAATTGTGTATTATTTGTAAAAAGATTTGTTAGTCTTTGGCTTTAAAGTAATCATACACTTATTTAAGGGGTATATAACAATGTTTTAATAAATATTATTCATGAGAATGAAATTATAAACTCTGAAAATTAATTTTTTCTCTTTGTAAATATTTTGAAGATCGATAAAAATTACCACAAAGTTATATTTCATCTATTAATATTGCTATATATATTTGCAAAAACTTCCAAAAATGAATTGAATACATAATAATTTTAAATTCATAATCTATGAAGTATTAATTTTTAAAAAGTCATTTTGGGAAATATATTATTAATTATTTATGAAAGTAAATAATAATTTAAAAGAGGAAACATTTAAAATAGTTCAAGGAAAACACGTTGCCAAATGTATGTATTAATATCAGTTATACTTTAAAATGTTCATAATTAAGTCATTTATATGGTCATCAGACTTTCTACTGTTTTATAAGTGGAAGCATATAAAATTCCTATTAATTGTGTTTGAAGAATATGAGATGTTTCATGTGATACTGTTTTTGCCTTCCTCTTGTATGTTTTAAAATAAGAAAATACTTGGTTACGTCTCTTATTTATAGTTATGATGCCCAGCAATAGAGAGGAACTTATCGTTGATCAGGATAATGGACCAACTATCAAAAAATTTCAAAGGGATAATAAAGGTAAAATTTTTGCTTATTTGATGTGCACAGAAGGATCGGATACTAACTTAAGTAGCATCCCAGTGTTGTTTATTGGATCCGCATTTTGCTATGTCAGAAAAAATTTATAGAAGCTTTGGATAAATTTTTTTAGTACGAAAAATAATGATGTTTACCTGAAGCTTGCTCATTTGGTGTTGTGCATCACATATCAATCTGGACTGTGTCCTTACTTGTGGTTTGAAATATTTCACCCTAAACTCTTTCATTTTGCCTATGCAGAGACATCTGTCTTTGTGTTATATACGTATTTAATTAACTATTAAAATATTATTTTATGATTACTTTTGAAAAATAATGGAGTTACTCTCATGGGGGAGAGCTGCTTCCCTCAATCCTCAAAAACTATTTTAAAAATAGATGCTAATATTGGACATTTCAAATGAAAATTTTGCAAGTTATTTTGTACAGTATTTACCTGGAATACTGTTAGATGTGACCTAAACCTGGCTTTTGATCAGCTAACACACATATATCACTTCTGCACAATATATCATTTTGTCTTAGATTATCTGTCTACAGAAAGTAGAGAGAGTAAGAATTGCTACTCTGATATGAAAGCTAGGTACAGCTTTGCTTAGAAGCCTGAAAAGGTAAAAGAAAAGGAAAATACATAACCATAGACTATGCATCACTGCTGTTACCATGAGTTAGACAGTAGCTTCCATTTAATTTATGAGGTCGTCTGATGGGCTGCTTGTATTTCACCATACAACACGTTTTCCCATCTCATAATATGTAGAAAAGGAATTCATGAGCTGAAGAGTTAATGGAGAATTTTTTTTCTTTCTTATCTGTATTGAACTTGCTTCATAATTACCTAGATGAGCATTTTAGTGGAAATTTGGAATAATGTATGATTTTCATCTTGTTAATCCATGGTTGGTTTCCTTGCCGCATGTTTAGTTTTCTTCTTAGCCAGACATTGCAAGTCTATACTGTCTAGTGTTCCAAGATGCAAATTACTGATTTCAGAATAGTTGTTAAGAATGGAAGAGGTCAGCTTCAGGATATTAAACAACCCCAACTATTATACAGGTAATGAAATTCTGCTTAAAGATCAAAGTTCATTTGTAACCCAGCAACAATTTGTTCCTGAGACTTCTTTCTCACCAAATCATGACTGTTTGAAGGACAGCGTGATAGTCAAATAGCTTTTCTAGGAAAATCTCCAGCCGTACATGATACATAGGATTCCATTGAAACTGAAAACCCCGTAAGTCAAAATGGCATTTAGAACTTGCTTGTGTGCTGCAGTGCTAAAGTAGATACTCTTGTGTCTCATGAAATATCAACTGGAGCACCAGTACAGATGTACAGTCACTGATTTTCATAAAATACACAGTGGTAGATACCAACATTTCTGAATCTCTTGTTGAGGAATGGCACAGTTTTACTGATTTCCATCAAATAGGTTGGTCACACCACCTGACGAGGAAATTAATAAGCAGGAATGGCATATTTAACTGCACCCCAGTTACAGTGGAAAGTTTTCTTTTAAATGAGATCTTCTATGTCAAGTTCTACCAATTCTATTTGCGATAGTAAGACAAAGTATATTTTCTTCAAATACATTTTAGTTATTAAAGAGGAATAAGTTAAAGTAGAAGTCTCAACATTTATTAAAGATGACAAGTAAGCAGTTTATACAACTGTGGCAAACATATGTTTTCACATCTGTTTTTAGTAATATCATCATGATTTTTAAAATGATTTATAGCTCTGCAAATTATAAAATGACAGCTTTGCTATTATGAAGAAATTTTCAGAAAACGAAGAAATACTGTTAGAGTAGGCTTTAGGTAGCCTGCCCCTTAATGCAACTTGTAAAATTGGGTGACAGTGCAATACATGTCTCAAATGCTCAAATGATATTAAAATTGAATTTTAATATGCAATCATGTAAAAGACTACGTGGTCTGGAATTTCCTGGAAGTGATGTCAATTTATACTGTGCCCAAAGTGATTTACCAAAATTGCTATTTTAATTTTAGATCATGTATTTGACTAAACTGACTGGTAGTCAAGTCAAGCTTTTGATTTCATTTTTCCATAGACTCTATCCAATAAATTGGCCAAATATATTGTATGTTATAGTATGACATTGTGTTGTAATGTTATATGCTCTTTTCCAATCAGTTCATAGAGAAGTTGCGACTCTAGTTTACCTGTGTGGTTGCAATAGTTTACATGTCTGGTTATAAAAACACAAAGGAAAACCCTCTTCTCTTGGCAGCCACTGGTCCTCCAAAGAGCATGAAAAGGGGCTTTTTGATATTTTTCATTTAATATAAGAATTTTTGAAAATTTTCCATGTGTAAGATATTCAAAACACCCTAATGAGCAAATCTGGGCTGCTTTAGAAACAGTGGAATAATCAATTTATCATCCAGTATAAGACTTGGGACCATGGATATATTACATTATAAATAAATCCACAAGTTGCAGTTGAACAGCTAATATTTTTTAAATGGAAGATTATATTTTATTATTTTTTTCAACTTTTAGTTAATAAATATAACTTTCCATAGTACAACTTTTAGATTATAGCGGCGTTTTCCCCCATAACCTCCCTCCCACCACAACCATCCCATCTCCCACTCCCTCTCCCATCCCATTCTTCATCAAGATTCATTTTCAATTATCTTTATATACAGAAGATCAACTTAGTATATACTAGGTAAAGATTTCAATAGACTACACCCACACAAACAAAGTATAGAGTTATGTTTGAGTAGTAATTTTTTTAACTTTTATTTAATGAATATAAATTTCCAAAGTACAGCTTATGGATTACAATGGCTTCCCCCCAATATCATCTCTCCCACCCGCATCCCTCCCCTTTCCCACTCCCTCTCCCCTTCCATTCACATGAGGATTCATTTTCGATTCTCTTTATATACAGAAGATCAGTTTAGCATACATTAAGTAAAGATTTCAACAGTTTGCTCCCACACAAACAGAAAGTGAAAAATAATAGATGATTTTTTAAATGATGATGAAATCAGATCAGACCTATTGTCATGTTTAATCCCAGTGAGAGTCAAGTTGGGAATTGATAATTTCTTCTTTTTTTTTTTTTTTACAGAAAATCAGTTTAGTATACATTAAGTAAAGATTTCAACAGTTTGCACCCCCATAGAAACACAAAGCGAAATATACTGTTTGAGTACTCATTATAGCATTAAGTCTCAATGTACAGCACATTAAGGACAGAGATCCTACATGAGGAGTAAGTGCACAGTGACTCCTGTTGTTGACTTTACAAATTGACACTCCTGTTTATGGCATCAGTAATCTCCCTATGCACCAGTCATGAGTTTCCAAGGCTATGGAAGCCTTTTGAGTTCACCGACTCTTACCTTGTTTAGACAAGGTCATAGTCAAAGTGGAGGTTCTCTCCTCCCTTCAGAGAAAGGTACCGCCTTCTTTGAAGACCTGTTCTTTTCACTGGGATCTCACTCACAGAGATCTTTCATTTAAAGGAGGGGAGCTGTCATCTGCTCTTCAGATAATATATAGAGTCAGATTGTGTCGCCAGAGTGGCTTGGCTTTCCATGCCTGAAATACTCTCATGGGCTTTTCAGCCAGATCAGAATGCCTTTAGGGCTGATTCTGAGGCCAGAGTGCTATTTAGGACATTCACCATTCTATGAGACTGCTGAGTATCTCGCTTCCCATGTTGGATCACTCTCCCCTTTATTTATTCTATCAGTTAGTATTAGCAGGTACTAGACTTGTTTATGTGCTTCCTTTGACTCTTAGTCCTTTCATTATGATCAATTGTGAACTGAAATTGATCACTTGGACTGGTGAGATGGCATTGGTACATGCCACCTTGATGGGATTGAATTGGAGTCCCCTGGTATGTTTCTAACTCTACCATTTGGGGCAAGTCAGCTTGAGCATGTCCCAAATTGTACATCTCTTCCCTCTCTTATTTCCACTCTTATGTTTAACAGGGATCACATTTCAGTTAAATTTCAACACTTAAGAATAACTGTGTATTAATTATATATGGTATTTGTCCCTTTTGGACTGGCTTATTTCACTCAGCATGATGTGTTCCAGATTCCTCCATTTTGTTGCAAATGACTGGATTTCGTTGTTTCTTACTGCGGTATAGTATTCTAAAGAGTACATATCCCATAATTTCTTTATCCAGTCTACTGTTGATGGGCATTTAGGTTGGTTCCAGGTCTTAGCTATTGTGAATTGAGCTGCAATAAACATTAGGGTGCAGACCGCTTTTTTGTTTGCCAATTTAAATTCCTTTGGGTAAATTCCAAGGAGTGGGATGGCTGGGTCAAACGGTAGGGTTATCTTCAGGTTTCTGAGGAATCTCCAGGCTGACTTCCATAGTGGCTTGACCAGTTTGCATTCCCACCAACAGTGGGTTAGTGTCCCTTTTTCCCCACATCCTCGCCAGCATCTGTTGTTGGTAGATTTCTGCATGTGAGCCATTCTAACCGGGGTGAGGTGAAACCTCATTGTGGTTTTGATTTGCATTTCCCTGATTGCTAATGACCTTGAACATTTTTTCATGTGCCTGTTGGCCATTTGGATTTCCTCTTTTGTAAAATGTCTATTGAGGTCCTTGGCCCATCTCTTAAGTGGGTTGTTGGTTTTGTTTTTGTGGAGTTTCTTGATCTCTTTGTAGATACTGGTTATTAACCCTTTATCTGTTGCATAGTTTGCAAATAATTTTTCCCATTCTGTCGGTTGTCTCTTCACTCTCCTGACTGTTTCTTTCGCAGTACAGAAAATTCTCAATTTGATGCAATCCCAATAGTTGATTTTGGCTTTGACTGCCTGTGCCTCGCGGGTCTTTTCCAGAAATTCTTTGCCTGTGCCAATATCTTGAAGGGTTTCTCCAATGTTCTCTAGTAACTTGATGGTGTCAGGTCGTAGATTTAGGTCTTTAATCCATGTTGAGTGGATTTTTGTGTAGGGTGTAAGGT